GCAAGATTGTGTTCCCTGCCGAAGCCTTCGATCCCGTCGCAACAATGCACGCCATCTCGGACGAGCAATGCACCGCACTACACGGCGTGCCCACGATGATGGAGTCTATCATAAACGTCGAGAAGCCAAAGGGTTGGACATCCGAGCTACGGACGGGCATTGTAGCAGGTAGTCCCGTTCCGCGCTGGTTGATGGAGCGCATGGTCCAAGATCTCGGCATGACAGATTTCACATCCAGCTACGGCCTCACGGAAGCGTCGCCGACAGTTTTCAACGCACATACCACAGACTCACTGCACGCGCGCCTTACAACCGTCGGTACCGTGTTGCCCCATGCGCGCGTCAAGATCGTAGACCACCAAGATCGCGTCGTGCCTATCGGTGTCAGAGGCGAATTGTGCGTCACAGGCTATCAAGTATGTCACGGCTATTGGGAGAACGCAGAGAAGACGGCAGAACTGCTTGTACGAGACAAGCAGGGCGAGCTGTGGCTGCACACGGGCGACGAGGCGGTTCTCGACGTCGGCGGATACTGCACCATCACTGGTCGTTTCAAGGACATCATCATCAGAGGTATGTATCTTCACCCTCTTGCGCGTCGCTGCTAACCTTCCGCAGGCGGCGAAAACATTTACCCCCTCGAGATCGAAGAACGTCTAGTCCAACACCCTTCCATCGCGCGCGCAATCGTCGTCGGCGTATCGCATCCTCGCTATGTCGAAGTCCCTGCCGCATTTCTCCTCCGTGAAGAAGGTACGGACAAGCTATCTCTTGATGAGGTCAGGAGTTGGGTACGGAAAGTCCTGGGCAGACACAAAGCGCCCATGCACCTGTTTTGGCTCGGTGAAAATTACAGCGATGAAGTGCCGCTCACGGGAAGTGGCAAGATCAAAAAATTTGTGTTGAGGGATGTCGCAGAGGGGTTGTTGAAGAACAGGTGAGGGCACGTGATGGCGGGGAGGGCATACGCCGCGCCTACCGTGTCAGTGCACTCAATGCCCAGCACAATCCAATGCACACTCCTCAACACCATGAAGTTTGCAAAAATAATGTTGTAGAGCCACCCACAATAGCTACTATCATGAGATTTTGTGAGTTTGTACTAATTAGATACTTGCAATTAACTTATGCTACTTGTATTTGTTCGAGGGTACAGGTCACGTGTGTACCTCTTTGGGACTAGCGTCTGTTCAGCTCGTTCCTTCTATATATGTGATGGGCTAGAGCCCAGTTGGTGAATCCTCGACGATATCTCGGTCACGTGGCGCGAGACGCACAGAGCAACCACACGCGTCCGAACGACGCTTAGACCATCCGCACAGTCCATAGGTAGAAGGTTATTCCGAGCCGCTCCCCGAATAACCTTCAGCACGAGATAGCTTGTAGTTCTCTTCCCTATCGAATACAACTCCAGTATACCTGTGCGATTGCTCCCTGAGCGTAGCCCCTTACAATATAGCCCGTTCCAATAGCTCACAAGAACAATCAAGTTCGCATCTCATGAACACATTTCATCAGTATTCAACGTGAGTGTCAAGCGAGCGCGCCACCCCAACAACCATTTTAGCCTTCTACAAAGAATTACTCAACATATTAGAACAAGGTCTCTCTAGTAGTATGACTACTGTGGATAATCAAGTGAGAGGGACAAGGCGGGGTGGCTGCAACGTATTGTATTAACTCTCGTGTTGTCTCGTGTCACAGACTTTGGCTGTTGTGGTGGGTGCTATTGCCCACCGGGCAGTGCCTGCCACACCAGCATATCATGTGACTCTCAAGCACCTTCTACCCCGGACTGAACCCAGATATTCTCAACACTCCCCCTCAGGACAGGTCCGGTCCGTAGACAACTCCCAGTTGGTTCTTGAATCTTTCAAATGCAACTCGCTGTAGAGGCTTTGTCATTCCGTCAGCAACCATGTCTACAGTTGGCACATAGGCTACATCAAGTTTGCCTTGTTCTGCCAGGTCCCTGACATAGTGATAACAGACGTCGATGTGCTTTGATCTTTCGTGGAGGTGAGGGTTCTTTGTAAGTGCGATGGCGCCCTGGTTGTCTCCCAGCATCTGAACCTTGTTGGTGTCTTTTCCAATGTACTTTGGGAACCCAAGGTCTCTGAACACTTGAGCAATCCACTGGCCTTGCTTGCAGCATGTTGACAGAGCCATGTACTCAGACTCGCAGCTTGATGTAGCGACTGACCGTTGCTTCTTGCTAGACCATGATATCGGGCCTCCATAGAACATCGCAGTGCTTCCTGAAACGCTCTTTCGGTCAACCACATCGCTTGCCCAATCAGCATCAGAGTAGATAACATGTCAGCCCTCAGGGGGTGTGTCAACTAGAATGTTCTACTATCGTCACAGCTACGTAACACACTGCTGATCTGGAATGCTCCAGATACTCTACTTCATGTATATAGTCACTCTCTGCAGCTCTCTCAATAAAACAACCTTCTCTCTCATCTCTCCTCCGATCCAACATAACAAATTGTGAGTGTGCTCCCCCTGGTCCATAGCGTAGTTTCATTGAGACCGTCGATCGAAGATACCGTAGCAGGTTTTTCAGTGCATAGCCATGGTGTTCTGCTGGATCGCTCATGTGTTGGCTTAGCTTCCCAAGGGTGAATGCAATATCTGGACGTGTAAGAACCATAGCGAACATCAGGCTTCCAATGCCCTGTTGGTACTCAGTTGTGTCAATTCGAGTGTCGTTGTCAGTAGCTGGTCTGAATAAGGTGTAATCGGCAGATGGGATCTTCTTATCCTTGTGCTTCTTGCTTGACATTCCAAACTTGTCAAGTACCGCACACAGGTATTGCTCTTGGTCAAGGAAGATTGTACGGTGCTTTCTGTCTCTCGTAACTCGCACTCCAAGGACCTTATGTACCTCCCCCAGGTTCTTGGCGTTGAATCGTCCAGAAAGCTTCTTCCAGAACCACTCAGTCTGAGATTGCTCCTTTGCCGCTGCAAGGACGTCATCGACGTAGACCAGGATTCGAATCTTTCTCTCCTTATGGACAAACATACAAGGGTCTGCAAGGCTTTGCACAAATCCCCATGCAAGAAGCTCTTTCTTCATTAACAGGTTCCAGTCTCGCGCAGCCTGTTTTAGTCCGTAAAGGCTTCGGAGTACTTTCAGGACATGTCCTTTCTCAACGTGAACTCCCTCAGGTGGCTTAAGAAGGATCAGTTCCTTAAGGTGAGACTCAGTGAACGCGTTCTTGATGTCATAATGAAAACATTCCAAGTCTTCTGCTGCGACAGTAGCTAGGAATAGACGTAAGGTGTCCATGCGAACTGTTGGTGCAAAAGTCTCGTTGTAGTCGATTCCATGTACTTGGGTGAAACCCCTAGCCACAAGGCGTGCCTTAAATCGTTCAACTGTCCCATCTGGCTTAGTCTTGATTGTGAACACCCACTTTGAATCAACTATGTTGGCGTCTTTAGGCGGTACAACTTCTTCCCAGGTTCCATTCTCTATCAGTGAGGTAATCTCTTCCAGCACTGCTGCTTTCCACTGGTTTCCGTACCTTAGGTCACGGATGGCTTGTTGATATGTCTTGGGGATCTGGATTCCTGCGATCTCTGTTGCTGGAAAGGCCTTCTCAAAAATATAGGCGTCTTCGTCTGTTTCTTTGTCCGTAAGATTAACTTGTGCTAGCACAGCTTTGATAATCTTGCGGAATCTTTCATCTTCTGCAGTGTCTTCGCCAGCCCTCTTGCGCTTAGACCCTCTTGTGAAGTATCTTGGGGCTTCTGGCAAGGATTGGACAGGTTCCTCGGATTCTTCAGTTGCCAGATCAGGTACTCGCTCATCTCGAGAGACGGTAGTAGGAGGAGCGGTAGTCAACTTCCTTGGTCTTCCTCTTCTACGCTCAATCGGCTCAGGATTCAGCTCCACTTGTTCTGCAGGCGATGTGTCCATTTGTTCCGCAGGAGGTGGCTCCATCTCTTCTGCAGTCGGTGGTTCCACCTGTTCTGTAGCAGCTTGTTCTGTTGGTTGTGCAGGAGTCGGTTCTGCAGGAGTCGGTTCTGCAGGAGCTGGTTGAGCATGAGCTGGTTGAGTAGGAGTTAGATCTTTCCTTGGTCTTCCTCTTGGTTTTCGGTCTGGCATAATGTTCTGCGTTCCTTGTGGTCCAGCTGGGATGTTCCGCAATCGCAGTTCGACTTTTCCTCCAGGCGTGTATTCATCCACAGATATACGGCTTGATCTTGAGGTGTATCCCAGTTCTGGCGAGTAGAATTTGAACTGCTTATTTGTTGTCTCGGAATATCCCATGAATACTCCAATTCTGCCGCGGTCCACGAGCTTGTCATGCCGTTGATCTGCTGGGATTGTCTTGGGGTTGATGTAGTCTCACGTATGTGATATGGAAGAAGAGATGAAGGACTGAGTTAATTGTATAGCTATAAACGAGGGAAGCTATATATATGTGAGGAATGAGAGAGTGTAGGGATAGCCCTGCTAGCGTGCAACACACCCCCCCAGACTGTAGTGAACACAGTCCGCAACAATCAATTAAGTGGGTCCTAGAAGGTTCAGATTGGATTGATTGATTACCGCTTTAAGCCTAGTAGTTACCTATAGGAGTTTAAGCCCTACCTAGATAGGTAAGTGGGTCTAGGAGAGTGACCGGATTGAATTGATTGTTGCGGAGTCTAGTAGTGAAGCGTAAGGTTGTAGTGTAGAGACTAAGGTAACTGTCTCCAGTTTAAAGGTGAAAAGGAGTGAATAAAGTTCATGTATTAGAACCAGCCCGCTGTATTGCTGGGTAGTTCAGGAGTTTTAGTTGTTGTGAAGACTGAGGAGACGTTTGGTGATATCCTCAAGTCCTAGTTGACGTGTGAAGTTAACGTGCTTTTGCTTTGGTAGTGCCTTTGTAAGACCGTCTGCAGGCATTTGGGCAGTAGAAATCCATTGTACATTCACCTCTCCTCTCTCAACTGCTTGACGCAGCTAGAGTTGGTGAATATCGACGTGTTTGAGCTTGGTTTGAAGTCTTTCTGTGGCCTTTGTCACAATTCCCACTGTCTGCTTGTTATCACAATAGATGACTGGGGTGATGTCTGTTTTGAAATTAAGCTGATCAAAGAGATTGTTCCACCAAATGAACTCTGACGTAGCATGGCTGAGAGCGTAGAGTTCGGCTTCTGTAGTTGACTTTGTAACAGACCGTTGTTTCGTAGCTTTCCAGTCAATAGGCATTCCAAAGAGCTTGAATAGATAGCCATCTGAGCTACGTCTAGTAGACAGATCGTCTGCAAATGAAGCGTCTGCAGCTCCAAAGAAGATAGGCTCAGGGTTAAAAGCAGTCCCGGGGATTGAGTAACCAGTGTTGTCAGGAGTGAGTGCTGAGGCTTTTAAGGCGAAATTGCGTGTCTTGACCAAGAAGCGCCAGGCATGAATTGCAGCGCGTAGGTGTTGTTCTCCAGGATTGTTGAGATACCGGGAGAGAATTGAGTGGGTGAGTGAGATATCAGGTCTTGTGAACACTGAGATGTAGGCTAAGGAGCCAACTAATTGCTGGTATCTTTTCTTTAGTGCTTTGTCTACCACAGTGTTTGGCTCAAGGTTGGTTTCAGCCATTGGAAAATCAGGTAAGGTAGTTGCTCCTTCCATCAAGTTGTACTTATGTGCTACCTTATCAATAAAGGCGTCTTGAATCAGCCAAGTTGATTGTTGAGAGATATCGCGAACTACGCGTATACCGAGGAACCAGTTGAGTTGACCCATCGATCTAAGCTTATACTTCTTGAAGAGCTTGTCCTGGAATTCCTTATAGATGTCCAGCTTCGATGGATGTACTAGGACAACTATATCATCAACATAGAAGAAGACAATAAGACTGTTGTTAGCAAAGAGACATGGCGTATTTGGGATTTGTTTGAGGCCAAGATCTTGGAGTGTGTTGGCCAGGTCCTGGTACCATAGTAGAGG